AGCAGAGCTTGATGTCATTTTTCTTCTCTTCTTCCAGGTCAGCTATGAAGCCACCAGCACAGCACTGAGCAACAAGCGCCTGTATCCCTCCTTCTTGCGCACCGTCCCCACTAACTATGTGCAGTCTTGTGCCTTGATACACCTGTTGGAAGCCTTCAACTGGACATGGGTGGCCGTGGTGGCCAGCAACAACAACTATGGCATACAGGGCTTGCAGAAGCTTCATGAAAGGAGTGCCAGGGTGGGCATCTGCATTGCCTATCAAGGGATCCTTCCTGCCGAACCCGATGCCAACCGTTCTGAACTCAGCACGATTGTGCACAATTTGGTGAGTGCTGGTGCCAGTGTGACCATTGTCTATGCCAACAGGCAGAGCATCGGATCTTTCTTCCAGGAGGTGATTCGGCTGAATGTGACTGGAAAGGTATGGCTGGGCACAGAGGACTGGTCACTGGCCTCAGATATCTCGATGATCCATGGAATCCGTGACATCGGCACAGTCATTGGTGTGGCACTCAAGGAAGCCCACCAGTTGGGAATGAAGGCATTTGAAGCAGCTCTTGTCGGGTGTAAGGAAGCCACGGGTGGGCTGAATGATATTGGCAGCGCCAGGAGCTCCTGCCAGCATTGTAGGGAAGCATGCAGCCAGCTCTGTACCCAGTTTTGCAGGCCAGATGAATGGGAGCCATCGCACAGTGGATTGGAGATATCACCCCGTGATTCTCGGGCAATTTTCAATGTCTACTCTGCTGTTTATACTGTCGCCCATGGCCTGCATCGCCTGCTGGACTGCCAAACAGGGGAATGCCGCAAAGACACAATCTATCCTTGGCAGGTTGGTCCCTCTCTTCCTCTCTCTTGGAATCAGGCATGGAGAACTCCCGCATGGTATACCCTTTCCCCATCAACCCAACCCATATCCCTTCCCCTGACGAGCTAGTATACAGGCACCACATTCATCCTTGCATTGCTTTCTGTTGTCGGTTGATGGCTGTACTAACTGAGCACACTTTCTGGTGCCAGTGTGACCATTGTCTATGCCAACAGACAGAGCGTTGCCTCTTTCTTCCAAGTGGTGGTTCGGCTGAACGTGACTGGAAAGGTATGGCTGGGCACAGAGGACTGGTCACTGGCCTCAGATATCTGGATGATCCATGGAATCCATGGCATTGGCACAGTCATTGGCGTGTCATTAAAACAGGCCTACCTTTGGGGAATGAAGGCATTTGAAGCAGCTCTTGTCGGGTGTAAGCAAGCCATGGGTGGGCTGAATGACACCGGCAGCGCCAGGAGCTCCTGCCAGCATTGTAGGGAAGCATGCAGTCAGCTCTGTACCCAGTTTTGCAGGCCAGATGAATGGAAACCATCGCACAGTGGACTGGAGACATCACCGTGTTATTTATCCGGGGCTTTCAGTGTCTACTCTGCTGTTTATACTGTCGCCCATGGCCTGCATCGCCTGCTGGACTGCCAAACAGGGGAATGCCGCAAAGACACAATCTATCCTTGGCAGGTTGGTCCCTCTCTTCCTCTCTCTTGGAATCAGGCATGGAGAACTCCCGCATGGTATACCCTTTCCCCATCAACCCAACCCATATCCCTTCCCCTGACGAGCTAGTATACAGGCACCACATTCATCCTTGCATTGCTTTCTGTTGTCGGTTGATGGCTGTACTAACTGAGCACACTTTGAAATCTATTGAAAGCATTTGTTGTTATGTGCCATCAAGTCAAAAGGCAAAACTAACAGGGGTTCTAAGGTACGTGATATGTTAAATGGCACCTGTCCTAATACTACCCTTTGGAAATTCAGTTAGAAAAAGATATTGCCACGGGAGAGGAGGAATTCAGTTTATCCTAGCTACATGAATAACAGAGGTTAGGTTGGAAAAATGGGATTGCAGAATCTGAGTGGATTTAGGGTTCTTAATATGTAGGCAAAACTAACAGGGGTTCTAAGGTACGTGATATGTTAAATGGCACCTGTCCTAATACTACCCTTTGGAAATTCAGTTAGAAAAAGATATTGCCACGGGAGAGGAGGAATTCAGTTTATCCTAGCTACATGAATAACAGAGGTTAGGTTGGAAAAATGGGATTGCAGAATCTGAGTGGATTTAGGGTTCTTAATATGTAGGTGGGGTCCTCATGACAAGGCAGTCATCTTGTAACCCAGGTTGGTGGGCTGAATGACACCGGCAGCGCCAGGAGCTCCTGCCAGCATTGTAGGGAAGCATGCAGCCAGCTCTGTACCCAGTTTTGCAGGCCAGATGAATGGAAACCATCGCACAGTGGACTGGAGACATCACCGTGTTATTTATCCGGGGCTTTCAGTGTCTACTCTGCTGTTTATACTGTCGCCCATGGCCTGCATCGCCTGCTGGACTGCCAAACAGGAGAATGCCGCAAAGACACAATCTATCCTTGGCAGGTTGGTCCCTCTCTTCCTCTCTCTTGGAATCAGGCACGGAGAACCCCCGCATGGTATACCCTTCCCCCATCAACCCAACCCTTATCCTTTTCCCTAATGAGATACTTTACAGGCACCGCGTTCATCCTTGCATTGCTTTCTGTTGTCAGTTGATGGCTGTACTAACTGAGCATACTTTGAAATCTATTGAAAGCATTTGTTGTTATGTGCCATCAAGTCAAAAGGCAAAACTAACAGGGATTCTAAGGTACGTGATATGTTAAATGACACCTGTCCTAATACTACCCTTAGGAAATTCAGTTAGAAAAAGATATTGCCATGGGAGAGGAGAAATTCAGTTTATTCTAGCTACATGAATAACAGAGGTTGGGTTGGAAAAATGGGATTGCAGAATCTGTGTGGATTTAGGGTTATTAATATGTAGGTGGGGTCCTCATGACAAGGCAGTCATCTTGTTCTCTAACCCAGGTTGTTTACAGAAAAGCAAAGACACTCCGCCCCCCCCATTGCTTAGTTTTAAGTCACCTACAGTCTCCTAAATCTCGCCTTAAAGGACAATGATTCCAACGGGCATTCAGTCGGTCTCTTGAGGGCTCATGCAAGTCCTCTTGGCCCAGGCCCTTCCTTGGTCTCAAGACTGTCCTCACTCTTTTTTCTGCAGCTCCTGAAGGAAATGAGGCAGGGGGAGTTAAGCCTCTTCCCCACGCCG